CGTTCCTTTGGCATGTGATATTGGATCAGCTGACCGAGTCGCAACATTTGCTTAAAAGTGAGCAACACAGTTGAACAGAACTATGGTAAAGAATGTTCCTTTGCCATCCGTTACTGGATACGCTGACCGAGTCGCAACGTTTCCTTGGAAGTGAGCAAAAGAGGTGAACAGAAATCTGGTAATGAATGTTCCTTTGGCATGTGATATTACATGAGCTGACCGAGTCGCGACATTTCTTTCAAACTGAGCAAAAGACGTGAACAGAAGTGTCTTCATGAATGTTCCTTTGGCATGTGAAATTGGGTCAGCTGACCCTGTCGCAACGTCTGATTCGAAGTGAGCAAAACAGTTTAGCAGAATTCTGGTAAACAATATTCCTTCGCCATCTGATATTGGATCAGCTGCCCGAGTCCCAACGTTTGCTTACAAGTGAGCAAAAGAGGTGAACAGAAGCCTGCTAAGGAATGTTCCCTTGTCATGCGATATTGGGCCAGCTGACCCAGTCGCAACGTTTGTGCCAAATGGAGCAAAAGAGGTGAACAGAAGTGTCTTGATGATTGTTCCTTTGGCATGTGATATTGGATTAGCTGACCCTGTCGCAACGTTCGGTTCGAAGTGAGCAAAAGAGGGGAACAGAAGTCTATTCAAGAATGTTCCTTTGGCATGTGGTATTGGATCAGCAGACCGAGTCGCAACGTTTGCTGAGAAGTGAGCAAAAGAGTTGAACACAAGTCTGGTAGGGAATGTTCCTTTGGCATGCGATATTGGGTCAGCTGACCGAGTCGTAACCTTTGCTTAGAAGTGAGCAAAAGAGGTGAACAGAAGTTTGCTAAGGAATGTTCCTTTGGCTTGTGATATTGGCTCACCTGACCGAGTCGCAACGTTTGCTTAGAAGTGAGCAGAAGAGGCGAACAGAACTCTGATAAGGAATGTTCCTTTCCGATCGGACATTGGATCAGCTGACCGAGTCGCAACGTTTGCTTAGAAGTGAGCAAAACAGGCGAACAGAACTCTGATAATGAATCTTCCTTTGCGATCTGATATTGGATCAGCTGACCGAGTCGCAACGTTTGCTTAGAAGTGAGGAAAAGAGGTGAACAGAAGTGTGCTAAGGAATGTTCCTTTTGCGCGTGATATTGGATCAGCTGACAGAGTCGCAACGTTTGCTAAGAAGTGATCAAAAGAGGTGAACAGAAGACTATTCATGAATGTTCCTTTGGCATGTGATATTCGATCAGCTGACCGAGTCGCAACTTTTGCTTGAAAGTCAGCAAAAGAGTGGGACAGAACTCTGGTAAGGAATGTTCCTTTACCATCTGATATTGAATCAGCTAACCGAGTCGCAACTTTTGCTTCGCAGTGAGTAAACGAGGTGAACAGAAGTGTGCTAAGGAATGTTTCTTTTGCCTGTGATATTGGATGAGCTGACCAAGTCGCAACGTTTGCTTAGAAGTCAGAAAAAGAGGTAAACAGAAGTCTATTCATGAATGTTCTTTTGGCGTGTGATATTGGATCAGCTGACCGAGTCGGAACTTTTGCTTAAAAGTGAGCAAAAGAGTTGAACAGAACTGTAGTAAAGAATGTTCCTTTGCCATCGGATATTGGATCAGCTGACCGAGTCGCAACGTTTGCTTAGAAGTGAGCAAAAGAGGTGAACAGACGTCTGCTAAGGAATGTTTCTTTTCCGTCTGATATTGGATCAGCTGACCGAGTCGCAAGGTTTGCTGAGAAGTGAGCAAAAGAGGTGGACAGAAGACTATTCATGAATCTTCCTTTGGCATGCGATATTGGATCAGCTGACCGAGTGGCAACGTTTGCTTAAAAGTGAGCAAAAGAGTTGAACAGAACTCTGGTAAGGAATGTTCCTTTGCCATCTGATATTGGATCAGCTGACCGAGTCGTAACGTTTACTTAGAAGTGACCACATGAGGTGCACAGAAGTCTGCTAAGGAATGTTTCTTTGGCGTGGGATATTGGACCAGCTAACGGAGTCGCAACGTTTGCTTAGAAGTGAGCAAAAGAGGTGAACAGAAGTGTCTTCGTGAATGTTCCTTTGGCATGTGATATTAGATCAGCTGACCGAGTCGCAACTTTTGCTTAATAGTGAGCAAAAGAGTTGAACAGAACTCTGGTAAGGAATGTTTCTTTGCCATCTGATATTGGATCAGCTGACCGAGTCGCAACGTTTGCTTCGAAGTGAGCAAAACAGACAAACAGAAGTCTCTTTAGGAATGTTGCTTTGGCATGTGATATTCGATCAGCTGACCGAGTCGGAACGTTTGTTTAGAAGTGAGAAAAAGATGGGAACAGAAGTCTGCTAAGGAATGTTTCTTTCACGTGTGATATTGGAGGAGCGGACCGTGTCGCAACGTTTCCTTAGAAGTGAGCAAAAGAGGTGAACAGAAATCTGGTAAGGAATGTTGCTTTGGCATGTGATATTGGATAAGCTGAGTGAGTCGCAACTTTTCCTTCGAAGTGAGCAAAAGAGGTGAACAGAAGTCTGTTCACGAATGTTCCTTTGGCATGGGATATTGGATGAGCTGACCAAGTCGCAACGTTTGCTTCGAAGTGAGCAAAAGGGGTAAACAGAAGTCTGTTCACGAATGTTCCTTTGGCATGTGATATTGGATCAGCTGACTGAGTCGCAATGTTTGCTTCCAAGTGAGCAAAAGGGGTGTACAGAAATCTGTTCACGAATGTTCGTTTGGCATGTAATATTGGATTAGCTGACCCTATCGCAACGTTTGCTTGGAAGTGAGCAAAAGAGGTGAACAGAAGTCTGCTAAGGAATGTTTCTTTCGCGTGTCATATTGGATCAGCTGATCGAGGCGCAACGTTTGCTTAGAAGTGAGCAAAAGACGTGAAGAGAAATCTGGTAAGGAATGTTCCGTTGGCATGTTATATTCGAGCAGCTGACCGAGTCGCAACGTTTCTTTCGAAGTGAGGAAAAAAGGTGAACAGAAGTCTGCTAAGGAATGTTTGTTTCGCGTGTGATATTGGATCAGCTGACCGAGTCGCGACGTTTGCTTAGAAGTGAGCGAAAGAGGTGAACGGAAGTCTATTCATGAATGTTCCTTTGGCATGTGATATTGCATCAGCTGACCGTGTGGCAACTTTTGCTTAAGAGTGAGCAAAAGAGATGAACAGAAGTCTGCTAAGGAATGTTCCTTTGGCATGTGATATGGGATCAGCTGACCGAGTCGGAACTTTTGCTTAAAAGTGAGCAAAACAGTTGAACAGAACTCTGGTAAAGAATGTTCCTGTGCCATCTGATATTGGATGAGCTGAGCGAGTCGCAACGTTTGCTTAGAAGTGAGCAAAAGACGTGAACAGCAGTCTCTTCAGGAATGTTACTTTGGCATGTGATATTGCATCAGCTGACCGAGTCGCAACGTTTACTTAGAAGTGCGTAAAACAGATGAACAGGAGTCTCTTCAGGAATGTTCTTATGGCGTATGATATTGGTTCAGCTGACGGAGTAGCAACGTTCGCTTCGGAGTGAGCAATAGAGGTGAACGGAAGTCTGATAAGGAATGTTCCTTTGACATGTGATATTGGATTAGCTGACCGAGTCGCAACGTTTGCTTCGAAGTGTGGAAAAGAGTTGTTTTTTCTGGTGAAGTATGCTTTTGTGAAGTTCATTGATTTAGCTGGGTTTTTCTTTTTTCTTGTTGTTTATGCATTTGTAATAAATATATTGAAACCCACGATATTTAGAGGTGACAGGGCGGTTTACACATGGACGACTGCACCTTTGGGGGGGTTGATGCGTGCTAGCCGGGGCTTTGGTCCTGCTCGCGAGCTGAAATTTTCAGAATGCACAGATGTCGCTAGTGTACGGCGCTAAATAAAAAGAAATCATTTTAAAAAACGGCTAAAAAGTCAAGTAAAGTCGACTGAAGTTAGGGTGTGGGTGTGGGTGGGTGTGGGCTGTGTTTGTGGGTGTGGATGTGGGTGTTGGTGTGGATGTGGGTGTTGGTGTGGATGTGGGTGTGGGTGTGAGTGTATGTATGTTCTCATCACACATCCACATCCACACCCACACCCACACCCACACCCCACACCCACACCCACACTCACACCCACACCCACACCCACACCCACACCCCACACCCACACCCACACCCACACCCAATCAATAAATACTTTTAAGTAAGATGGAGATAAATGTACAGTTAAAATGTTGCATGACTGTTAAATTTTAATGGAAAATTTAACTTGTTCTCTTGTCTAGTTTTATGTTATATACTGATGAAATTCTATTTTATTGTATTGAAGGCTTGTAATGAGATGGAATAGGAGAAATTAGTTTCATTTTAGACTACGCAACAGCTATCTATTCGTAATAGATGATGAATGATTCCTTAAACCCGAAATTAGCAAAATCTTCTAGTGTATTGGCAAATTTTTATGTCTGGGTCAGAAATGACCCATGTTAGGCGTACTAGGGTTAAATAATATATAATTGATAATATATAATAATAATATATAATTTAAATCTATATATATAATATTCATTGTCTGTCTATGTGTTTGTCTGTCTGTCTGTGCCGGGTTAAAGGTCAAAGATCGAAGGCTAAAGGTTACAGGTTAAGAATTCTCGGATTTTCTAGAACGTTCAAAAACGATGTGTACTTTTATAAGCTTCCAGAATGTTCTAGAACTTTCTGGAATATTCGCGAAGGTTCCTAGGGTTGTGTGAGAAATGGGCTTTGGGGTTAAAGGTTAAAGGTCAAAGGTCAAAAATTAAAGGTGAAAGGTTAAAGATCAAAGGTTAAAGGTTGGTAGAAGGTTCGAGAATTTTCACTGAGGATAGAAGGACAGTTCAAAAGAATTTTCTAGAAGATTCTCGAGTAGGTTTCCTATTTGAGAGCGCGACTATCAACGCAATGTTTATAGAAAATAACGTTGATTGTGGCGCTCCCAATAGCCGCCCCCGCTTACCGAAGGGTATTAATAGAGGATCGAAGCTATAGAAGATCATTTTCCAAATATCAACGATGACCGATACATTAAACGAATCAATCATGGATATCGAATGTGAAAAGTCAATACCAACAGCACTTGACCAAGAAAGTAACCCGCATTTAGATGATAGTACAAAAAAATCTCCAGCAGCAGCAGCACATGAAAATCCTAACGTAAGTACTCTCAGGAGATCTGAGAGAATTCGACAACAACGTGCAGATGAAAGCGAACAAGCTAGAAGGGAACGACTACAGAAAGATAAAGCAAGGCATCTGTTGCGCCGTCTGGAAGAGTCACAGCAAGAAACACAAGAACGTCGACGACAGGATGCAAGACGAGCGAAAAGACGAAGAAAACAAGAAACGGATGACGAACGACATGAACGACAAGCAAAAGATGCATCACGAGCAGAACAACGAAGAGAACAAGAAACAGATGACGAACGCCATGGTCGGCAATCGAAGAATGCATCACGAGAAAGAAAACGAAGAGAACAAGAAACGGATGACGAACGACATGAGCGACAAGTAAAAGATGCATCACGAGCAGAACAACGAAGAGCACAAGAAACAGATGACGAACGACATGAACGACAAGTAAAGGATATCATTCGCCATCGCCATCGTCGACAACGAAGCTCATCTTTCTATGCAGCTGCACTTCAACATGAATTTCCATCAGAAAGTTATCATGGTAGAATGGACAAGGTGTGTCGTCACTGCAACGCCCAGCACTTCGAAGATGAGTGTGCTTCCGATAGACAGGATGAATTCAAACAGTGTTGTCACTATGGATCTATTCAACTTCCAGAGCTTCTCCCATATCTAGATGAAATCAAAGCTCTTCTCCAAGGAACTGATATAAACTCAAGAAACTTCCGCGAAAACATCCGAAGTTACAACAGTGCTCTAGCATTTGCATCGATGGGAGCTCAGATTGATTTACCAAAAGGTTATGGACCTTATTGTTTCCGTATTCATGGACAGATCTATCATCGAATCGGTCCACTTCATCCTGAATCTGATCAGAGAGCACAGTTCGGACAACTTTACATTTTGGACTCATCCTTGGCATTAAAAGAACGAATGGGAAATGTTCCCAACGAAAATTGCAACGAAACGAGGATGAGAAAACTCGGCGATATAATGAAGAACATTAGTCCTTTTGCTGCTGCCTTCAAGATGATGCACGAAGTGGAAGAAGAAGAAATTGATCGAGCTAAGAAAGAAAAACGAGCACCAACTCCACTTCGAATGTTTTTTGACATTGACTATCGAATTCATGATCGACGACTCTACAATCTCTCAACAGCAAATGAAGTCGCTGCAGTCTTTATAGGTGAAGATAATGAAGTCCCAACGCATCGACATATTGCAATTCATCCACGTGGCAAAGATCTTCAAACTATTTCAATCTTACATCCTCACTGTGATCCAATGATTTATCCGCTATTATTTCCACGTGGAGATGAAGGATGGCACCCGAACTTAGAAAA